ATTCCAAAGTTTCTTTAGGACTAATTATGTTGTGTGCGTGTGTGTGTCTGTGTGTGTGTGTGTGTGTGCGCGTGTGTGCAGTGTTTGGAGTTAATAAGCTTAGATACTAGGGGGGAAAACAGTGGCAAGATTATACCACAGATAATTAATAAAAATCAATTAGTTTGTTAATGAGTACTCTGTCAGTACCCAAGGTGGCAGAAACCAGCTGGGGAAGGAAATCAGGGTCCCCGAATAGGACATTTAGAATGCTTGGGTCCTGCTGAGAATTTGAGAGGAAATAACTATAAGGAGCACTCCTTGGGTTAAAACTGGCTAAATTTCCTCTTGAGATTGCAATTCCTCTAGCTAATAAATCTAGTAAAAAAGTGATTCACCTTTAGTGTATGCCATAAAGCATTTTCTGAGGCCTTAAGAACAGTGCTCACTGCCCTGTATTAAAAACAAACCCATAGTTGTAAATGTCAATGACTAAGAATATTAGAGCCCTTGCATCTTTCTTATGTTAGTAGAAAAGCTGGAAGTGCCCATTATCCCTTCTATGACTTTTTATATTATATTTATATGAATGGCAAAAGTCAAACATGAGCTGACAAGAAAATACAAAATCTATCTTCCAGTGGTCTTTGCACACATGCGCGCACGCGTGCACGCGCGCACACACACACACACACACACACAAAAGCAGAAAATTCCGAAGATAACAATTAACCATCATAGAAATCTTTTCAAAACAAACCCTTCTTTTCACTGTTAATTGTATTTGTGTTAATATTTATTCTTTCTCTGTCATATGCAATCATGAGTCATTTATGGGAGGAAAGCAGAAAAACTTTGCATAGAAACAAGTTCAGTAAAGTCAGTTTAAAACTGTTAATTTCTATTAATATACCCTTCTTTTAAGAAATGAAAAATAAAATTGAAAGTTTTCCACTAGATTCATTGCTTTTTTAAAAATTTCATGAGCATTTTTTGTTATAATATTATACACATTGTAATTGTCAGGAATATCAATCTGTCTGCTAAACAGTCTCCTTCTTGTATAAAGTCTAAAATATTTCTGCTATTGATAAGTATAACAAGGTTTCATATTAAGTAAATTAATGGTATGAAATACAAAGTATAACATTTCTATTGAAAAATTGCACCCAATACCTCCCTGTGAAAAGGAGTTAGAGTCCTAGGGGTAAAATATTGTTGATTTAAATTATTCAACTATTTACCTTTCATAGAAAACACATTTTTTCAATTACCTTCAAATTTTCTAGGTAGTCAAATGAAGAGAGAGCTTATAGATTGGTAGGAGGGAAATATACTGAATCCAGACAAAGAAACAGCTCTTTGAGCAATTTTAGACTATTTTTAGGCTGTGAAATAAGTTAATTTCACCCTAAATGTGTGTTGCTAAAATTTCCTTTATAAGACACACAACTGTGTGATTAAAAACTGCATTTGCACAATGAGAAAAAGTGGTGTCTACATTCATTTAAGTAAATCAGATATGATTTCCTTTTTAGCACTCTGTTAATATTAAGATATTTCCCCTTTTTCCTCTAGTACATTTTTAATTTCCTAGGAAGCATCAGTAATAGTCTCAGATCCATGACCTTACATTTCTTTTAAAGCATGAGAGTTTTCAAAGGTTCTGGCTGCTAGGTACATATAAAACATAGCTATGTTTTCTTTGAAACTATGATAAAAAGTGAAGCATATATCTCATATTCATTTTAGCTCACTTTTTTGGGTTCTTTTTCTTTGTTCTTTTTCTATTTTTCCTCATTTTTGAGATAGGATCTTTGTAGCCCAGGCTGGCCTCAAACTCACAGCGAACCTCCTGCCTCAGCCTTCCTCGTGCTGGGATTAGAGGCGTGCTCCATGATGCTCAGCCTCATATTCATTTTGGAAATCTAGAGATGTTCATGCACACAAATGAGGAACTTATCTGGAATAAGTGGAAGTTGAGATTTATCGTCTTCTCTTTAACCTTTGCTGTCCCACTAATGAATTAAATATCATTCACATTCACTAACTAGTGTGACTTTTCAATTAACCGGAAAGGACCAATTTTGGGTGAAGGTATTTCTTAATGGTGGGAAGTGATGTGAAGCGAACAGGACAAGGATGCTGGGATTTACCCTCTAACCCCATTCAGAAATTCGTGACTCATGAAACACGACAAAGTACTTCACTTTTACTGTCACTGCATTTAAATTTAAAACAGGCAATTCTAACTTTTGGCTTAGTAATATTAGAACTTTCTGAGTTTAGTTATCCTGGACTTTTATATAGGCAACGTTTGGAGGTGAGGAAATTGAGGACCTGTTTCACGTGATGATATTGTCAGACTTATGACTGAACCAATGGGCTCTGCCCTCAGGATTTTGAAGTCTGAACTCCAGCTGTGCCGCTGATGACTTAGTTTAGTGTATTTTTTTTCAGATTCTAGGCGGGGCTGCTGAATATTTTGATGCATTATTTAACTTCTTTACATTTTCCTAATTGACCTGAAAAGAGGGATATTAATTGTGCCTATTTTGTGGGGTGATTGTTTTGATGGAGATAGGTTGAATTTTGTTTTTAAATCCACAACTGCCTAGTCCAACAATAAGTACTAAACAAGCATTTGCAAAATAAAATATTTAATCTGGACCATGCACTTAAGACCTCTAAACCCTGCTTTTGAAACACTGCCAGTTGTTAGGGTTGCTAGAGGAAGCATCTGTTCATACAGTCGGTAGTAGAGCATGTATTATTAACCTGACAAACTGTGGAAGAGTTAGAGCTTATCCGGATACAACTTAAGGTGTAAAAATCATTCGTAAATGATACAGTCTCTGTCCTCAGAGAATCCTATCTGGTTTAAGGTATAGAAATATACATATAAACAAATAAATAGCTAATATACTATCTGGTCAGAAGTATGAAACAGTGTTGGAGAAGGCACAACTTTAGACTTGAAGGAAGGTCGAATAAAGGTGGCTTCAGCAGTACTTCAAGTATTAGTGGGAGCGTTTCTGATAAAGAAAGAGGAAAATGAGTCATCCTTAGTGTACAGAAGCAGTGGGTGTGGCTGCTACTGATTTTGTGCTTCCTCAGTTGGCTGCCAGGACGGAGGAGAGGCCCACCGTGGGGCATTCCCATTCTGAAGTCAAAGGGAAGAGCACAGGCTGAGTCAGAGTGTGGTTGTGCTCACAGCTTCTGTTGATATTTGTCAAGAATCAATCTCCAGCCTCCACTTAACCAAAGGAAGTCACATGGCAAAGCTCAAAAGCAGGAGGGCTTCTGCACAGTATAAATCCTCTCTTAAGAAGCCACATCGCAATAGACAGGCATTATACCGGTGTATGGAAAGGAAGGGAGTGAACAACTGTGAAACAAGTTCTTAGGGAATTGTGGAAAGTTTGGCGCGCTTAGAGTGGGGGATATAAACTGTCTAGTAAATAGGAAGAGATAAAAGAAGAGTTGAGAACTACCTTGTGTGTCCTGCCAAAACCTTTTGACTTTACCCATGAGCAGATGCACTTTTAGAAATAGGAAGAAATATGAAAATTAGAGAAAAACTAGGGTATGGAGAAAACAAAGACAAAGAGGTTAATTAAGTTCTGAGAGAATGGTAGTTGGAAGGAGTCTACAAAATAATTTCAAGATGCCCGGAGAAGAAGGCAGAATTTACAGAATGAAGCCAGTTGTTAAGTGTGAAGAAGATAGGTTAAGAAAGACAAGTGAGGTTATGAGGTTTTGATTGAATGAGTTGAGAAGAGAGAAACTGGGTTATTTTGTTAAGGTCTACAGAATGGAGAGGTTGAGAGACGCTTCAGAGAGTGGAATTTCTGACCTGACTCATAAAACGAGCAACTTTGTACTGAAGGAGACAAGGTATGGCCATGCACGATGACGTTAGAGGGTGTGCCATTCAGGAGGATCACAACTCAAGGCTGGCCTGAGACTGGCAAGACCCAGTCTCCAAACGAAATACAAAAAGTGGCGGGGGTGTAGCTAAGCAGCAGGGTTTCCCTAGTGCTGGAAAACGAAATGCCGTGTTCGACAATGTTAAGAAGCTTATCGAAATCATACACAAAGAAGAAAATTCAAGTACATGTGAATCTTCGGATTCTTAACCATTTTCTCTCAATTTTCGTTTTCAGATTATGAATTACATAACATAAAAAGAGAGAGTCTTTACTAAAAAGCCTTTACTAAAAAGTCTTTACTAAAACAGCAGACCTAATGGATCTTAATAAGATTTCAAAACTAAGTAAAATCAATTTAAATTCATATAATGAGTTCTTAAAATGGCAAAATGACCATAAGGGAATACAATTTCTAATTTTTTAATATAAATCTTTTAATATTGACCTTAGTTTGGTTTTATTTTTTTAAATGTTCTTTGTATTTACTATCAGAGTGTTGATGTTTTCACACACATGTGTTATTATGGATAATTATTGCAGGGTTTCTGTATTAAATTAGCTTTCATGATTATGTGGATCATTTCATGTTTGATTTAGTTGATGTAACCAGACTCAATATTAATACTGTAAATATCACATACTATTCCCGTCTCATGCTAACATAAATCACAGGCTAAAATTTTATAAAGGAAAATATTGTTATAATAGATCTTAAGATGAGAAGGCCAGCTGGTTTCTTTGGACACAATGATCAGGTCATTGAGGTCCTAATGGGCTTATTACAGGTTACAGCCACATTCTCAATTTAACATTTTCAGAAATTCAATTTGAAAAGCTGTCCAATTATTATTAACTTCTCAAAGTCCGACTCAAATTTAGTTGTGAGCAGTTAAACTCATAAAACACTAAATTATAATCCATAGTATACATTTATGCCTTCACAAAATACCCCTCATTTAAGTGTGATGCTTTTCTTTCATGTTCAGAGGTACACAAGAGAGACACAGTGAGAGAGTATGTGTAATGAGCTTCCAATTAAAATAAAGAAAAGGAGATTTTAATTTTTTTTTGTTTTGATACCAGGGATCAAACTTGGGAACTTGTGCTTGCGAGGCAGGCGGTGAAACCACTGAGCTAAATTCCGGGTCCCAGGAAAGGAAATTTTGAATTGCAATAAAAGTAGGTGAACTGGACAAGATACTGTTCTTCTATCTAAAGGTAATTCTTTTTTTTCAGCTTTAATTGAGTTTATTGGTACATTTTAGCGATACAGTACAGTTACATTCATTGTTGGGATTCTTGTACCTCTACATGACAAGTCTTGGTTCTCATTTTTTCCCCTTGTCCCTGCACATTTTTTTCTTTTCCCTTTTTACCCTTCCCCTACCCGTCCCACCTAACCTACACCTTTAGCTCCTTTCTTCCTGTGTCAGTAATCCTATTGTGATCTTCTGTATTATTGCAGATTATTCACACCAGAGAAACTATTCAGTATTTACACATGTGTGCCTTATTTATTTCACTTAGGAGTATATCTTCAATAAAGGTAATTCTAAGTACATACCCGGTAGTGATCGAATTCCTACGTCCTGCTATAGAGAAAGTACCTGAATGTCCAGATGTAGGACCATTGTCTAACACATTTCTTACCTTGAGGTAAAGTTTGGAAATATTCCTACGAAGAATCTCTTCTCTTTACCAACCATCAGATTTCTGACTTCTGTGACCAGGTAGTTACTTTGAGAATTATTTTAGTTAATAGTTCTTTTTCCTTACTTTTATGATTTATCAAAGAAAGAAATATAACTTTGGGAGTTACTTTAGATTACAAAAAAATAAAACCTCAGGGAGTACCATGATCTCATAATACAATATTTACACTCTAACTATTGAGGGATTATTTGCAGATGATCAATCTTAGCTCTTACAGGTGTATAATAATCATTTTAATCTCAGAAGTAAATTTTGTATGACTTGTGTCTAAGTAAGACTCTATTTCACTATGGTGTACAGTTTGAAAGCTCTGTATCCACAATACAATCCTAAGCCCACGTCAATGTTACAAAATTCATAATTTTGAATTTTTAAAAGAAATACGGAATATATGCTATATATTACATAATATTTCTAGCAAGGTTGGAGCCATGTTCTATAACAAATGTAGGAGTGTGTGTGTGTGTGTGTGTGTGTGTGTCCTTTGTGCAATTTTTAAAAACCAGGTGACTCTGTGTCAAACTGAGGGTGACAGAGAAGAATCTGATGTTCATTTTATGAGGGGGAGGAATAACAGCCAAGAGATTGTTGATATATCAGAGTAATGAATAGGGTAAGATGCATAAAACACATGTCTTCAAATTTTAAAAATTTACTTCACATACACATTAGCAGAATATTTATTGAGTCCTTATCTCTATTTGGGAAAGTACTGTTATTTTAAAACAATGAAATGGTCTGAATTACTTTTTAGCTTGAAGAGAAATCCCATTATAACCTGAAAAACATAGATAAAGCCCATATGTATCTCCTTTTTTCCCTGGTGTATCTTTTTAAGTTTGATCAGGATTAATGAGACTTACACCCCAGGGTCAAAAAGATTGGGTAGGCGAAAGGTTCTATCTTGTGATAGCAGGAAGTAGTAGTGGGTTTTGCTGAACTGGGTCATGAATGTCTCGAGTTGCTGACAAAGGTGAAGTGTAGCCTGTCCACTTCTCTGAGGATGCAGTGGGAGTCAAAAGGAAAGCAAGACATGGCAAAGGTAAACTGAAAGATTTTGCTGTTAGGCTAGTGCTTTGATCAGAAAGACTCAAAGATGCCTATTGCCCTACATCTGTGAGGGTATATTAAAAGGTTAATAAAGTTTCAGACCTTTTGGACTCATAACTAAATTGGCAGGTCTGCAAACATGAGGAATTTTTATACTGTAGACTGTCCTAGGGAATTCTGTGGAAGGAAGAAGAAGAAGAAAAAAAAAAAACAAACCAAGGCGTCTTTACAATTCATTTCCAGGCAGGAAGTATCTTAAAACTGTTCCACACAATTTTGAGGCTATTTCACAGGAACTATGTAGTGATAATCCTGTCTAAAGAGAAATGCAGAAACCTCAAGAAAATCCGTTATGTTAAAAATCAGGGCAGTATAGTACTATGATTTATACATAATTTGTAGACCTTTGAATCAGATATTCACCATTTTAATAATTTCAGGGAGACAACTGCTCCACAGTAGTCTGTAGCAGAAGGCTCACATCATAAGACCATGGACATAATAGTGATATTGCCGTGGGTTAAATGAGCAGAGCTTGAAGTATTATTTTTTTTTTAAATTGAAAGGTTGTGGCAGTAATAAAAAGGTTGGATGGTAATGCCTCTAATTGAACAGTAAGGCATCTTTCCTATTAAGTCACTCTTTCATCTGTCTTTTTAATTATTTCATTATCATTTTGTACTGCAGTTCACAATGAAATGACCATTTGTGTTTAAGTGAAAGCTAATTATTAGGACTGAATTATTGTGCAGTTTATTGATCCCTATGGTGGATTAAGGGCTTTAAGTTCGTCTAGACAGAATAGTTAGCAAAATGACAAAAGGAAACATATAAGACCCTTGGGAAGAATCCCTATGCTCCATAAGCAATTAATGCCTGCCAGGTAATGGAATTTAAGTTTATACTAAATCCAGCAGAGCTTTGACATTTCAACTGCCTTATAAACACATTAGTCTAATGAATTAGGACTTATGAATTGTGTTTAGACACAAGTAGAAATAGTAAGTCCAGGGCATTTTTAGGCATCCATTGATTGAATGAAAAATAGATCACTTTCTCGCTGAATTTGATGAAAAATGAAATGTGTTCTTTGTGTCTGTCGCTGCTTGTTCCCCTCTCTGTTGATGGATGCATATTAACAATTTCCATTTCCCAAAGAATGATGATCTCCTTTATGGATTATAAAACATATGCAGTGATAAAACAAGAAAGGAATATGTTCGTCTATCTATCTATCTATCTATCTATCTATCTATCTATCTATCTATCTATGCTGAGTAAGACGGTAAGCAGCCCATTTATCTCAATCCAGTGCTGGGCAAATTTAAAAGCCATCTGTCATTATGGTGACAAAGCAAAGCCCAATCTAAGCTACTGATACAACCCATTGCTGTCACTTCCATGAAATTGTTTTTGAGTGAACTCTGAGGAGACCCTGCTCAGTCTTTTAGTTGTGTGATATTTTTTCCCAGAAGTGCTCTGTGTTTAAACTTTATTGACAACATGGCATAAATGAAGGTTTTTGGAAAAGTTGTTAAATCACTTTTTGTTATCAATAAAGATTTAGCAACAAATCCAGGAAAGGATTGCAGATCAATTAAGACCAACTTGGTGTTTTCAGTGCAAAGTTTCTATTACATTTCTTTCGCAGCTTCATTTCTGGCCTCTTATAAAAAAAATCTTTTTTACTGTACCAACCATGATAATTTATGGGTCAACTAAAAAACAGATATTTAAATTATATGCAATGAAAAACTGGAACCTTTTATCTGTCTAGATGTCTCTGAATTTGAAATGACTTCCTTGCATGACAATTGTGGAGAACATTTTAAGAATGGACTTTTTGTGTCTAAAAATATATATCCTCTCGAGTACTTTTCAGTGAAGAGACATCTATACCAGATTATGGAGGAACATTTAAAAATTGAATTATATTTATACAAAATATATTTTAGGTGTTTCATTACATAAACATGAATTGAAGGCATTTGTATGCACAAGATCCAATCTGTTTTGCAAACTGCAAAAAAATATTTGCTTCCTGATATTTATGCACAATTTTATCACTTGCATTTGACAGTGGCAGAGTAGCTAGTTTAATAAAGCAAGCTTAAGTTTTTATAGCAGTGGTTATAGACTTTTATGGTATTTAAACTAGATTAATCAGTGAAGTATGATAAAGTTGAAGGATTAAACAGACTGTGTGCACTTAAATACAAAACACTAATGGGGAATCTTGCACGAGGCAATATTTGTTATTATGAAAATATAATAAAAGGATAATTGGCGGATTCTCTTTCTAGGAAAAAGATGGGTTTACTCATCTTAAAAAGTCAAATTAATGCCTAGGGAAATAGGGCGCCCTTATTATATGTAGACATGGTGCCACCGACGTGAGAGTCATCTGATTTTTAAAACCTAAAATAAAATTTATGCCTTATATTATGCCTCTGTATGGTTGAATTCAAAGTGTGATCCTAGAGAAAAGCATTCCAAACACTTGACCTAATTTTATCTTGGTAAGGAGGCAAATATGCCTAAGGATATAAATATTCAAATATTGGTTTATAATACATTTTCATGATTGGAGGAGTTGGTTTTGTTTAAAAAAAAAAACATTTTCTCTACTCTAATGAACACAATTTTATTTTTCAGGATGCTTAAAGTTGGTTTGAATGTTTCATAGGTTTTGGTAAGGATTAGAAGTAAAAGTTTAAGAGACCAATATTAATTCATTTACCAGAAATATATTTTAAGAACTTTACTCATGACTGGTGTATATGATTCAGTCAAGTCAGTTACGTTTTCTAAGTTTAGGACTATTAATACTTCTGTTAGCTATCGATTGCTGGGTAAATTATTATTCCAGGTTGTAGCAGCTTTAAATAGCAAAGCTGTATCGTCTCATAGATTCTGTGGGTGTGGAATATGGGTACAGTTTCGCTGGGTTCTTCTGGCTCAGATAATCTCTCCAGTTCTCAGTCAAACTGTCAGCAAGGGCTAGGGTTTGTCCTAAAGCGGGGGTGGTGTGTGTGTGTCTGTGTGTGTGTGTGTGTGTGTGTGTGTGTGTGTGTGTGTAAGGCAAGCTCCTTGTCCTGAGTCCCCCTACAGGCAGCACAGAGTCGTGTCAGCCATAAACCTCCCAGGCAGGGCAGGGGTATCCCAGGCTTTACTCTTCCCTATAGAAAGACCAATAGCAACTGCTGCATTGCCCTGGAGAGAGAAGACTCTCTCCGTGAATTCTACCTACAGACAGCTGCTAATTGTCTCACATCTAAGAGCGAGCATAAAAAGCACTCCCTAGTGCCTAAGAGAACACCCAGCCCTCCCCCAGAGAGAGACACAAGCAATGCTGCAGTGTAGGGTAGATAGCAAGCACACGCCAAAGCTGCCACTCCTGAAAGTGCAACTCTGCTTCCTCAGCCTCAAAGCCCACTGCCAGACTCCATCTGAGGCAGGCACAGCCACCACGCGGAATTGTGCCGTCACACAGGCATCCCCAGGAGATTGAATGGTGCACCCTACTGCCTCAAAGCCTGCTCTCAAAGCAAAGCTGCCTATGAGGGACAGTCACCACAGTGAAGAAAGCCAGGAAGCAATAGCCGATTCTGCCTCTTTGTAAGTTTCATCTGTGATACCCTGAGCCTCAAAGCTCACTTCCAATCTACATCCAGGAAGGGAGGCAAATCTCCTAAATGTTTCTACTGCATGTGACGGTCGATCTGCCCCTCCTGATCCATGGAGCCACCCATCTGCCATGCAACTGTCTCCAGCTGCTGAACTCAGATAATGATAACTTGTCCAGGGAATGTGCTCTGTAGCATCAGAAGCAATCATGACCTCACCCAACACCTCAGACTCATAGCATAGTTCAACCAATGGTCTTGCAGATAGAGGACACAGTCATCTGTTCTACCTGGATTCAGAAAAGGCATCGTCCCAGCCATCTAGAGAAGCTGAAAATCAGCTCTGCCTGTACAGGGCCATTATCAGCTAGACTGCCAGAAACATAGGGTAAAATAAACCGAGAAAGTTTGTCACTGCCAAAAAGCACAGTCAAAAGCTATACAATGAACAGACATTTACATACACAAAAGGATTCCAGAGACTGAGAATTTTGATACTCCCAATAAAAGTTCATTGACCTCCCACCGTGGACCCCAAGCAAGCCTGTAATGATAGAAAAAGAATTCCGAATAATCCACTTTAAAAAGTTCGGTGAACTCCAAGAGCACATGGATAAAAAAGAAGAAGGAAATTTAGAGCAGTACATGAAAAAATGAGAAATTTGACAAAGAAATAGAAATAACAATAAAAATCTAAATCTTGGAGATGAGAAGTACAATGAACACAATGAGTGAACTACAAAAAGCAGCAGAAAGTTTCAACACTTGGCTTGATCAAACTAAAAAAAAAAAAAAAAAAAAAAAAAGAAATCAGTGAATTTGAAGAAAGAACATGTAAAGTAACCCAATCAGAGAACAAAGGTAAAAATGAAAAAGAATTAAAAAGGCAATGGGGTTTATGAGACATTGTCAAAGCTAATGTGTAGTAGGAATGAAAGAGAGATAAAGAGAAAAGAGAAAGAAAGCTCATTTAAAGGGATATTGATGATGACTTCATTAATCTGAGGAGAGAAGCCAACATCCTAGTCGAGAAAGTGTCAAGAGCTCCAATCAAATACAACCTAGAAGTTCATTTTAACACATAATATTCAAGCTATCAAAAAGTCAAAGGCAAGGGAATATTCTATGAATCATGAGATAAGAAATGTATCACATACAAATGAGTCCCAATATGCCTCCTTAGACTTCTCAGCAAATAAATACTTTGCAGGCCGTGAGAAAGTGGATGAAATATTGAAAGTGCTTAAGAAAAAGAGCTACCAACCAACAATTGTCTTCAGAAAGTCGTCTTCAGAAACAAGAGTTTATAAAGACGTTATCAGACAAGTCTGAGAACACTGATTAACCCCAGACCTGTGCTATGAGAAATGCTAGAGCCTTCAAGTGCAAAGAAAAGAATGTTAGTGTGCAACAAGAACATATCTGAAGGTATAAAACTCACAGGTAAGAGTAAATGCAGAAAAATTCAGAACACTAATAATTCCTATTTTGGAAGTGTTTGTTTGCTTTAGATTTCATTTTTTGATCAGGTCTTTTATTTTGGGGATCTAATATCTTTAAGTTTTCATTATATTTTGGATTAGTCCTCTGTCCAAAGTGTAGCTGGAATTTTTTTTCTCATTCTCTAAGTTGTCTCTTCAGTCTGTTGCTTGTTTCCTTTGCTATGCAGAAGCTTTTACCTTTGATATGATCCCATTCCTTGATTCTTGGTACTATTTCTTCCTCTCTCCAAGAGTTTTACCTAATTTATCGTTGAGCAAATGAAGTGTTTCTATTTTAACATTTAGATCTTTGATCCATTTTGATTTCACTTGATTACATGGAGAGATTTATGGGTCTAGACTAAATCTTCCCCATGCGGCTAGCCGATTTTCCCTGGAACATTTATTAGTTTGATATAATTCCATTTGTTGATTCTTGACATTTCTTGTGCAATTGGAGTTCTTCCCACCATCAAGAAATCAAACATTTATATCTATATAAATATTTGCATGTGTACACATATACATATACACATACATGTATATGCATATATAAATGTAAATATGTATATATAAATATATGTAATTAATACTGGATCATCTAAATATATAAAGCACATATTAATAAACCTGAAAGGAGAGACAGACTCCAATATGCTAACAGCAGATGCTTAGGTACCTCATTTTCAGGAATAAGCAGATCATGGAGACAAAATGTCCAATGAAGAAACGTGTGATGTAAAGTGTCCTCATGTACTTAAAAGACATTTACAGAACATTTTATCCAACAGCTGAGTAATCCACTGTCTCCTCAAGTGCATATGGAACTTTCTCCAGGAGAGATTACTTATGCGGTCAGAAAACAAATCTCAACAATTAAAATAAGTAAAAAAATTATACTGAATAACTTTTTCAGACTGTAATGGAAAGTAGAAATCATCAGTAGGAGAAACTCTGGAAGCTAAAAAGCATGGCAATTAATAATACACTCTTGATTTTTATTGCCATTGTTGATCCTTTTGTATTTAATTAAGTCTTTGTTTCATTTAATTTTGCTCTTTTTCCATGGTCTGGATACCAAAGTCAGGAACTTTACACATGGTAAGCAAGCACTCTATCACTGAGCTATGCCCCAAATGACTGTTTTCATCTTGATTATTCTTTTCCTTTCTTCCAGTGTTGCATTCAGCTTTTAAATCTAATTCCTTGAGATGCATAATTAAGTTGTTTACTTGAGATCTTTATGTTTTGTTGGTGTAGACATTTATTGGTATAAATTTTCTATCAAAATTGCTTTTTCTGTATCTCAAAAGGTTTGCTATGTTATTTCCATTGTCATTTGTATAAATAATTTTTAAAATTTCACTTGTAATTTTTCATTTACTCAGTGGTTGTTCAGGAGCAGGTTTTTAAATTTCCATGTCTTTCTAGTTCATTGTCAGAGCTCTCCCTATTCTACACTCCTCCTAATCCCTAATTTCTGGTGACTACCCTTCTAACTACTATGAAATTAACATTTTAGACACAACAAGAATGACGTCATGGCTATTTGTCTCTCTGTGTCTGGTTTATTTCACATTCACAATGTTGTTTGGCTTATCCATGTTGTAAATGATAGTGTTTCATCTTTTATGACTAAGTACTGTTTCACTTTATATATATCCATCACATGTAAAAAATGTGTTCATTTACTGATAGGTATTTAGGGTCTTAGGTTGATTCCATATCCTGGCTGTTGTGAATAAAAGTAACAGTTACACTGCTACTGTGCTATTTCAATTACTTAAGCTTTGTAGTAGATTTTAAATTCAGGTATGTGAGGCGTCCAGCTTTGGACTTTTTTCTCAAGATGACTGGCTATATGCGGTATGCCATGGGTCCATACAAATTTTAGAATTCTTTTGGTAGTTCTGTGAGGGAATGTAATCTATGTTTTGGTAGGGATTGCACTAAATGATTACTTTTGATGCCATTGGTATTTTAAGAGGATTGATTTTCCAATCCAAGAATATGGAATACATTTGCATTTAATATCATCTTAAATTTCATTTATAAATATTTTTCTAGTTTTTATTAAAGAGATAGTCCACCTTTCTGATTAAATTATCTCTAGGTGTTTTTCATAGATAGTATAAACAGGATGGATCTTCTGATTTCTTTTTTAGATAATTTGTTGTTCTATAAGTAAATGCTAGTGACTTTTGTATATTTATGTTGTATTCTGCAACCTTAATATATTGAAAGAATTCATTGGAAAATTGAAACAATATAAAGTATCTTTTCTGAACAAATTAAAATAAACCATAAATTTATAAGAAGAACTTAAAAATATGTAAATACATGGAAACTATATGTTTCTGAGTTTCCAGTGTGACAATGGAGATATTGATAAAGAAATTACAAATTTTCTTCAGACAAAAGATAATAAAAACACAGGAAAATCTATGGGATATAGGAAAAGCAGAATTAAGGAGCAACTTTATAAAAATTAATAACCTATATAAAAATGTGGAGCTATCTAAATTAATAACCTAATATTGCACCTCAAGGAACTAGAAAACAACAAACCAATAAATTGGAAAGCCTATAGAAAATGCAGAGATCCTGGACAAAAATAGCTTAGTAGCACTGACTCATGAAGAACAGAAAAACTCAAGAGTTCAATAATCAGTAATGAGATTTTCATAAGTAATAAAGTTTGTTTCAAGTTTGATAATTTATAGTTTTCCATTTTATTGAAAGATGAGTTTGCTAATATAAGCTTATATTTAATATATTATAACATTGTAAATCTACAGGATACATAGTTATTTTTCCTCTTGAATTCATTTAAACATTATTATTTTCTTTATTTTGGTTAAATTTCTTCTGAAAAAAATCATATTTTAATATCAATTTTTTTGAGACAAGGTCTTACTTTGTAGTTCAGCTGGCCTTGAACTTACTATGTAGTCCAGGCTGCTCTTATACTCATGGCAATCCTCCTGTCTCAGCCTCCTGAGTTCTGGGATTACAGGTATGTGCCACCACACCTGGCTTCTAGTTCCTTTTTTTCCTTTTTGTTGAAATTTGCTTCTTTTACTTAAAGATTAAAGATTTGGTGATTAAATGTTTTCTTTACTTAGTTTTTTCCTATTATTTCATAGTATATGATGCCCTTTTCTCAGTTTTAGAATGTCATTTTATGTTCATTTGTTTGGATGACTCCATATTTACTCATGGATATTATGAATTAGTTTCATACTGCAGGTTGGTTGAAATGCCTTCTAGTTTCATTATATAAGGAAAATATTTTAATGACTGTATTATAAACTTAAGCATTTCTAGAATATTTTTATTTTTATTGCTATAATATTGAGATATTTTGGTTCATATTTATTTCCATTACTAAAATTTAACAAATAATTTATCAAAAATGTTACTTCTCCAAGTTTTGCTTTGGAAAAACAATAGGAAAGCATTGCTTGAAATTAATATTTGCAAAAATAAAATTTAGGCAAAAATCTAGAAGTTTTTACAAAGATAAAAAGATACAGATAATATTAAGTCTCACATTCAAAATGAAGTTCAGACTGTTATAAATAGCCAGACATGGTGGCACAGGCCAGTAATTCTAGCACTTGGGAGGGATTGCCACAAGTTTGAGGCCAGGATGGGCCACATAGTGAGTTCAAGGTCAGCCTGAATTACAGAGTGAGATCTTGTCTCAAAAGCAAATAACAACAACAACAACAACAACAACAACAACAACAACAACAACAACAGCAACAACAGCAACAAAAACTGTCCTGAATACCTATGTTCCTTGAGGAACAGAGTAACAATCGTTATGAAACAGAAACTTCAGAAGATGCAAAAAGAAATAGATATGAATGCCATAAAAATAAGTTAATGATACAACTATTAAAGCCAAGTGATCAAATATGTTAGGATATAAAAAATCCTAAGAAATATGTATAAAAATATTTAAAAATATGCATGAATTTTGTACTGCTAAGAAAACATATGGACATTTTTTAACTAGTATAAATCAGTTCACAAAGGAAATCCTCAGTGTATTTAATAAAGTCAGAACGTTGGACAGATATTATCTTAATTACTCTAAAAAATTAAAGCAAAAATACAGTAAAAATTTAAAAGCTCTTATAATTCACTCCTGAAAGTGAAAGACTTTACCTAAAAAGTTTTTATTACAGTATTATAGTAATTTTAAGAAAAATACCTTTAAAATATCAAGATGATTCAACCATTAAACAAAAAAATTTTAATAAGTTAATGATAGTGAAATAACATTAATTGAATAAACACATTATCAGGAATTATAAATACAAGATTGAAAATAAATTGTAAAATAAATTGATAATGGATTATTCTGAAAAGGAACAAGGAACTGAAATTTTAAAAATTGGAAAATAAGTGAGATGAATGAATTAAAGGATAGTTCTTTGAAAATAATAGATAAAAAACAATGACTTAGATAATTTAATCAAGAAAACTTAAAAAGTGAAAGCACAAATATGCAAAATAAGAAATTACAAGACAAATGTTGACACTCAGAAGATGAAAAAGTAAATATATGAGACCATTTTATGTATATCTGTAGAAGTTCCTTTGAAAACAAGAATTAGATAATTTCCTAGGAAAATATAATACATACAATATGATCTCAGTGCACAACAAAAATTACACTGAGCTAACTTCCATAGAGTAAGCAGACAAATTCATCAAAGACAAATGATTGTACCCTCACCACCTCAGCTCCCCTGAAAAAAGCATCAAGTACAAATATTAACATAAGTAAAACCCAGCCAATTCAGGAAAAAGCCAGGTAATTTAACACTACTTAAATTGTTTCAGTGGGTGAAAAAAATAAAAGAAAAACTTCAAATATGTTTGGAGGGATGGAAACATTGATGCCTATTCATGATGTTAACATTACATTAAAAAAATGAAAGCTAAAGA